AGAGATGCGGCAGCAGCTGGATTGGAGGAAAGGCATAAATCAGTGAGAACTGGTTCCAAGGAATCAATAAGGTTTCCACCCTGCTGCGCGAGGGTCCCTTACCCAGGACACAAAAAGACCAACCTTGTTGTTGAACCTGGATGCGAATAGATCTACATCCAGGCAACCCCATCACTGGCAGATTTCCTTGAAAATGCAAAGCCCATTCCCCTGGAACAACTGCCGGCAACTGAGATAATTTGCCTGCCAATTTTAAAAACCTGGAATGAATCCTGCGGACAGACTTGGAACATATCTCTTTGCCCAGGTCCGAATGTAGTTCACCACCTTCTGGGCTCCTCGACTCCTGGTGGTTGATGTATTCGACTGCTGTGGCATTGTTGGACTGAATCCTTACAGGCCAACCCTGAAGCCTGGTTGTCCAATATCTCAGAGCCAGCTTCACTGCTCGAAGTTCCAGGACGTTGATGGGAAGAACCCTTTCCTGTGGAAGCCATGTTCCCTGAACGGCCTCACAACCTGAAAGGCTTGCATCGGCGGTTACCAACTTCCACACCACTGGCTGAAAGGATCTTCCCTTCTCCAAATTGTGAGTTATCAACCACCAATTCAGGCTCTGCTGCACCTCTGGAGACAGAGATACAGCCATACCTCGGTTTACGAATTTATTTCGTTTTGCGGGACTTTTCGTATAGCAAAAGATTCGTAAACCGAAACGCCGTTTCCCATAGGAATGCATTGAAAACCAATTATTCCGTTCATGAGGTTAGAAAAAAGTAAAAAAATGCTACTAAAATACTGCATGAGTTATTTTATTAAGTCATGCAGTATTTTAGTAATGACAACAATGTGTTAAATGTTTCAGCTGTCAGCGGGGTTCTCCACTGACAGCTGAATGTAAAAGAACTGCCGGCAATTAAAAAAATAAACAAGTGGCATGGGGTCCCCCCTCCCATCCATATCAAGCCCACATGCCCGGCAGGTCAGGAAAGGGGGGGGGGGAGCGAGAGGCCCCCCCCTCCTGAACCATACAAGCCCACATGCCCTCAACATGGGGGGGGGTGCTTTGGGGCAGGAGGGCTGCCCCTATGTGAATGAGTATGGGGTACATGGTCTCGATACTCATTCACAAAAAATAAAAAAGTGTAGTGTGAAAAAAAAAGACAGCACACGGTCTTTGACAAGTCCTTTATTAAAAGCAAAAATTAAAGGCATGTCCCCCACAGTAGATCCAACGTCAATCACGATGCCTGCCGCCGACCCGAAAAAAAGAATTTACGCTTCCGACGATGGCTCCCGCTGTCAGCCTGCTCCGGTGGTTTAACAGTTCTTAAATAGGTAAGGGGCGGGGCCATCCTGTTACAGGATATGCATAGTAAGGACCACATCCTGCTTCAGATCTGGCACCGACCGATTTCTGAGCAAGAGATCTTTAGATAACCTGTGACGAATAATCCCTGAGTTCTGAGTATCCCCAACACCGGAGCAAGACTTTTAGTAAAAACTCTGGGAGCCATGGCCAGTCCAAACGGTACTGCTCTGAATTGGAAATGCTGAGCCCCTACTGCAAACCGCAGAAATCTTTGGTGAGGAATGAATATCAGTACATGCAGGTATGCATCCTTGATGTCTATGGACGAAAAAAAAAATCTCCCTCCTGTAGGGAGGCCACTACTCACCAAACCGATTCCATACGAAAGGTTCGGACATACAGGAACAAATTTAGGCCCTTGAGGTCCAAAATGGGCCTTACATCCCCATTTGGATTGGGAATGTAAATAGGTTTCAATAAAACCCCCTGAAACCTTTCGTCCACTGGAACCTCTGTGATTACTCCTTGAGCCAATAGGCAATGGAGTGCCTGAAATAAAGCGCTTCTTTTCTCTGGATTTGTTGGTACATTTGATCTTAGAAACCGGGGAGAGGGAAATACCCAAAATTCTGCTCTGTACCCCAGAGAAATCATGGATTAGAGCACTCCATGCTGTCACAAAATTCAAAAGCCTTCCCCCCATCCGAACAAGTGGGGGCACCCCTTCATAAGGAGGCAGACTTTGGATCTGTCTTAGACGACTTTTGCACCCAGGGCCTCCTTGGGTTTTGATTTTGAGATCTACTCCTGGAGGCTGGGACCTGTGTGTGGCCAAACGACTGCCTGGTACATGAGGGCCCAACAACCGCAGCCCCTGACACCTTAAAAGAAGGGTGTTTGCATTTCCTCTTAAGGGTAGAAGAGTACTTTTACCCCCTTAAAATTTTTAATATATTTGTCCATATCTTCCCCAAACAGCCGCTCCACATGAAAGGAAAAACCTGCCAACAATTTTTTGCATGGCATTTCTGCTGACCAACTCTTCAGGCATAAGACCCTGCGCATGTGCACTAATAAGAGGGCCAAGCAAGAAATTTGCTGAATTGAATCCTTATGAGCATCCTTATGAGCATCAACTGCGAAACACAAAGCACGTGGAACATCCTCCAAATCCTCGGCCGTGCATTCCCCCTGCCCTGATGGTCTTCCAATCCGTTGCTTTACAAGGTCAGAAAAAAGACTCTGGCAAATGCTAATAGCTGCCACAGCTGGCTGTGCAGCAGAACCTGTCAGGGAGGTCTTAAGGAGAGACTTCAGCTTATTAACTGCTGGGTCCTTGAAAACCTGTACATCATCCACAGGACGTTAAAGATTTATTCAGGGATGAAACAGCTGCATCCACTACAGGCAACCGCCATTTCTTAAAACTTTTGTTCCATAGGGTACAAAACAGAAAACCTCTTTGGTGGAACAAAAACCCTGTTTGGGTGGTCCCAGTCAGCATACATAATTTGCTCCAGAAGATGATGCACCGAAAAGGCCTGAGTACTCTGTGAAGGCTTCAAAGAGCCCAGAGAAGAAGAATAAGTAACCTCAGAGGTTTCTATCGGAGGTAGTCTGAATCCAGACCGTACCATATCAGTGAGGTCTTGGACTAAAAATCTCTGAGACTGGGAGGCAGAGACCTCCTGCTTTTCCTCAGGCTGTGGATCCTCAGACAGAAATTCTACTGCCTGACCTTCCTCCAGCTCTTCTTCATCCTCAGGCTCCACCCATTCCTGCTCCATTCATCTATAGGTGGCCTATAACCCACATAGTCATGAATAGCCTGCTCTGTGTCCTGTGATGAATGGTAAAGAAATATTTCTTCCATAAGCAATGTATCTTCCCAGTCTCTGGGAGAAAAGTCTAATCTCCTAAATCTTTCCACTGATTGGATATATATTAAAGCAAATACATTGAATATAGAACAGTGGTGGTCAACTATAAAATTACAGAAGGCTTTAAGTGCGGCCCCCTACACTTCCAGTGGGCTGCACAATAGCAGTGCACGCTTGCATATAAACTCCCAAAGATTCTGGCTCTGCTGCATTTTTTGCAGTGTATCACAATGCATACTTACGAAGTTGGAGTACAATAACTCCCAAGCATTGGCGTCAGTGAGTACAATAATAACCCCCAGAATTGTCAGTGGCCACAATAATAACCCCTAACATGTGTGTCAGTACTAATAACATTAGCACACATTGGTGGTCAGTGGCAGTGAAAGTGTTAACCCCCCCCCCCCCCCCCCCCACACTAGTGATCATTGATTATTGCTGATCACTTACTTACCCATCACACGCTCCAGTGTCACTATCTCCCCCAAGGCTAGCACTTTACTTGTACTGTGGGTGGACATAACTCCACCCACAGTACAGTCTCTCTTCCAGTGCACTTTTGCATATCAACACTGGTGCATAAATCTAAAAGGCGACACTGAAACACTTGTCAAGTTTATTGTATCAAACAAACATAAAAACACCATACAGTAAAATGTACTAGTAGGGGGAGAAATGTTCATGCATTTCATGCTAAGCTCAGCACTTAGTCATAACTGGGGTTAGGATTAAGCGCTGCGGTTAACGTGAAACGCGTGAACCTTTCTGCCCCATTTGTACATTGTACTGTATGGTGTTTTTATGCATTTCTTTTTTCTTTTATGTCAGCGCAGGTGTGCGAACTGGGCCGGCACACATGCTGAAAGAGTGTGGGGTTTGCAACAAGTGAGCCTACCTTGAGCAGCACTAACTTGTTTCGTAGCACTGAGCAGTGTTGCGGAGGCTACTGATAGCTAATATTCCTAAGTCCCTCTCAAGCTCTAATTTGCTCAAAAGCATTTTTTTTTTATTAAACAGGAAAAAGCTATTTTATATCTTACAAAAATTATCAACATTAAAAGCTGAAGCATAGCTCAAAAGACTAATTTTTTTCCTACAGCTTTAGTTACACTACTTACCTTTAATGAAGTAAGTTCTACAATGTGCAGGCTGCTGTATTCTGTAGTGATCTTCACTGCACGGATGCTCTGTCCTCTCCCTGCTGCTGAACTTCTGTGCTGTGGGGATCAACAGCTTTGGGTCTCTGGACCCAAATGCACTAAAGACGTTGCAACAGGAACATGCCCTCTCCTGCACTCTCCTCCATTGAGAAAAGTTCTTTAATGGATTACACTGCATATGAAATGATCTGTGAATAGGGGAGACAATCCTGTGACTGATCACAATCTCCCCTGTCCATTGATGTATTTCCATTTGATCATCTTCAGAGCAGCTGAGCCCATTTACACCAAGCAGTTAAACCCCACAGCGTCAAAGGTTCAGCAGCAGAAAGAGGACAGGGCAGTCCTGCAGTGAAGATTTCTACAGAATCCAGCAGCCTATGCATCATGGGACATTCATCATTACAGGTAATTAATTTAGCTTAAGCTGTAGAGCTTTAAATTGGTTACTCAACTCATGACAGGCAAATGCTTCCTTTTGTAAAAATACTTCAGTAATAACTCATTATCCTGCTTAGATTTAATAATTCTTAATAGTTCCATGACAATCGGCTACATTACTTTCTCTTTAGTTTAGCAGAGCATTAATAAATAAATTGAAAATAAAAATATAGTTCACCAAAAGGATATATTTGCAAAAGCACCTACCTCGAACAGGTGCCGCTTTGTTCAACAATCCTACATCCTCCTCAAACTCGGATGCAAACACTGAAGAAGGTAAATGTATAGTTGGAGGCTAAGAACATAAATAAATATTCCAATTACAGTTTGAGTAAATATTTTTGTGGACCAATAAAGCAACAGCAAACATGTTTAAAATGTTTGGGAACTTATAACTAAAATAATACATTCGATCACAGAAAAAATAATTTTCTTCCTTTTTAAAAAAAAAAAATAAATGGTTGGTTCCTTTTTTTAAATGTTTAATTCTGTGGTCACAGGGCTGCACAACCTCTGATCTCTTCCTATAGCAGAGGACATGTATGCATAGTAGAAGGGTGGGAAGTGTGTGACCTCACATATGGCGTGGAAGGCACACACCCATCTGTGTGCTCTACACATAGCAAATCACAGCACTGACTACAGGAGATACAGGCACACAAAGTTCAGGAGGGTGTGAACTGACCAGGACAGCACAGGAACCAAGGGGAACTGGCAGGATCACCAGGTATTTATCACCGTCACACAAAATAAAGTTAAAGAATGCATTTTCATTTTAAAAAGGTCTAAAACAAATGTGGTTAATTACCACTAAGCAGAGAATGGTAACGTATTAACGTGAATTTAGATACAGAATATTTAGAGATATATATTGTATACCATGAGTCATAGAAGGCCACTGCCCAAAGACAGCAGAGACAAAGAGGTGACTTTCTTTACATACATACTTATCAGCCACATTTTTCCCCCATCATCACCAAAAATAGTCATCTCAAACAAGCATATGCACACATTGGCAAAACATTCCAAGACAGGTCAAGACTAGTAAAATGTTTTGTGTAAAATAGCCTACCCCAGAAGATGACTGCTTATCCAGGCTCATAAAAGTTGTCTACTGACATGGTCCAGTGAAGGAAATCCAGCCCTGGAAGTACTGTTATGCTTTAATAACATTAACAAATACTCTTGGACAGACATGAAACTCACTTGGATTTGTTCCACTTCATCTTCTACCTTTCCATCATCAGTCACAATAATCCTACTTTGTGGTCGTCCAGTATGAGAAGAAACAAGTTCAGCAGGGCCTACTTCTTTAAGGTGCTGTAAGTAATTGTAGTCATCATCAAAGAAAAAACACCATATTTCCTTTGTTCCTCTCTCCTTTTCTCTGTATCTACCTGAAAAGAAAACCCCCACGTATATTAGATATTAAATGAATTGATACAGTGCATGTAAAGTCAAACCTTTTTAAGCTTTGTATAGAGAAGGGGTAGAACACCCATCTGGTTTTCATTGCTACCCGTGTCCCTGTTAGAGGGATTTATGCTCTTTTTGTCCTGGGGACCACTGCCAATAGAAGGAAAAACAAGAGAAAACCAAAAATAATGAGTGGTCTCCGAACAAGAAATGAGGGTAAATTTTTCAATAGAAACATTTGTTCCAGTTACAACTGTCTAATATAGGATTTTACTTCATTTTAGAGAGTATTAGCTTTGGACATACTTAAAGTGTTACTAAAGTCTATATTTTTAATTAAAATAACAAACATGTTATTTTCACCCATTTTGTGCATTGGTATTGCAGAGCGGCCCCAATCCTCTTCTTCTTGGGTCGGTGATCTTGGCTCCTCCTCCTCTTTGTGTGTCCCATAGCAAACCGTTTGCTATGAGTGCACATGGTGTGTCTATGGAGCTACGCCCCCCACTTCCTCCTCACTGCATTTGATTGACAGCCGGAAGAGAGAAGAAATGCAGCCCTGCACAGCACTGGATCTATTCTCCCCTCTATTTCCCTGCACACAGGGACAGGGCGGGTGGGGCAGGGCCAGAGAAATGTTTTTTTTACCTTAATGTAAGGAAATCATTAAGGTTAAAAAAAAAACGTTTTTAGTTTTAGTATCACTTTAAAAGGAAAGGTTCACCTTTCATAACATGTTATACCTGTATTTAGCGTGTAGCATGTTCCTGATGCATCTGCCCCTGCAACCCCAAACCCCCCCCCTCATTGTGACAGTGAGCCGGGGATCTTCTCCCCGCACATGCTGACACAATTTAAAAAAAAAATACTGTGAATGGGAGAATTATTCCCAATGTAGTTCCCAATGAACTACCAGGGGAGCACTCTAGTAGTTTAATGATGCTTGCTGTCATTCAGTAACTGCTTGCCTGTACAAGGTATGGGCAGACAGCTACACTGACAGTCTGCAGGAGCCTGGCATTGCACCTGCGATCGCAGGTGCAATGTTTTACTGTCTCCTAATAAAAAAATAATACATGCACATTTTTTTTTTACCTGAAAAAAAGATGAGCATTTATTATTTTCTTAAAAAGGTGAAATTATTAGTTCTTATTAGTGGTTGTAAATCTCAGACCTGAAATATGAAAAAAGCATATCCCTCTAAAGTGTGTACGTGTCTCAGTTAAGAGCACAAAGTCAAGTGTCAATTCTATTTCTGTCTGCTGCTTCAGTCCTCTGCTATCTGAGTAACGTCTGGCAGGTTTTCCCTGACACAGAGAGAAAAAAGTTGCTTTATTTCTCCAGCACACAGCTTGTGCCTCACAGCCTCAGTTCTGTTCCTATGTGCTGTTTGTAGGGGAGTATGTCTGTTCCCTCCAACCAGCTCTGAAAACTCTCCTCACTGAGCTCTGCAGTGTAAAATTTTAGCTCTTCACACCCTGTTTTCTGAAAGCTCAAAAAAGCTTCTGGATTTTTTTAACATGTAGAGAAGAGAAGACTGCAAATAAACAGGTACAACTTATGTATGAAGATGTGCTTCATCTCTGCGTATCATCTGAGGCCAGTCACTTCACTGGGTATATTATATAGGGCGCGCTTGTTAGAGCCCAACCTCTGTAGTTGTAGGATAAAGGTGGATGGATGGATGGATGGATGGGAGCAGTAACACTGAGGCAGCTCTTCTTAGAGTGGAAGCAAGGCTCTAATGCAGTAAACATGAAAAAGAGAGGAAGGTGCCTCCAAGTTCAGTATAGGCAATTTATTTGTGAACAATAGATAAATTGCACTTACAAGATAAATAGTTAAAAAGACTCATTGTGTGGTGTGTTAAGATCCAGGTAAGACATCCAGCCGTCCAGCAGTAGCAGTTGTCTATAGGATTAGGAAGTATGAACTAGGATGTGTCTGTGTATCAAAAAAATGAAAAAAAAAAAATGTTTTTGATACAGACACATCCTAGTTCATACTTCCTGATCCTATAGACAACTGCTGCTGGACGACGGGATGTCTCCCCTGGATCTTGACACACCACACAATGAGTCTTTTTAACTATGTAACTTGTAAGTGTAATTTATCTATTGTTCACTAATAAATTGTCTATACTGCACTTTGAGGTGCCTTCCTCTCTTTTCACTTCACTGGGTATATGTAAGGGTTTACAGTCACTATAAATTCAGTAACATGAAATGCACAGACCCCAGCTGTGTGGTTCAGATATCATTCCCACATATTTAAGCAACTAGGTTTTCTGTCTGTGCTTCCAAAAAAAAAAATTTACATAGAAAGGAAAAAAAAAAAATTTGTCTTCTTGTAGCACAAGGAATTAAAGCCAAAATGTATTTTGTTAGTTTTGGACAGAAAGAGGAAGTGTTTAGGACAATTTAGGAGGCTGAATCTCCCCAACAGAGACAGACAGCTATAGGTTTAGAAACCGCAGTCACTGAAACTAAATTCAAGGGAAATCTTTCCTTAGTGACACCCCTTTTAGTAACCGCTATTGAAGAGCAGAATTCACCTCATTTCAGAAAGTCAAGGGAAATGGTCTCAATGACACAAAGGGAAAAAAAATGACAGGGGTTTAATCCTTTCTTACGCTGTCCAAAGCTGATGCTTGAAAAGAAAAAAAATAGGTGCCTAGCTTTTTGAATTCAGTAGTTTCTAAATGACAGAATAGGCATACAGATCAGAAAAAGCATCTAATGAGCGCTCCCTTCCTGTAAACCTATCTCAAGTAAATAATGCAGAGCCCATAAAATCAGCATGACAGCCAGGAAATTAGTACTTTTGCAAAACCTCTATACTTTCTTAGTAGAGGATCATTTGAATATCCATTCTAGCCAGAGTGAAAACTAGCACATAAAAATACTGTCTAACATTTGGGCATTTTTTTTTACCCCAGGGACCTCAGTGTATACTGGGACACCCTGCTATGTGCACATATTTCTAGTTGTCAATTACCTGGAACACCTGACCTCAACGCTGAGATTTTACAGGTCAAGGATTCTTAGATGTGTCTATTATAGTTCCTGCTAATTAGGCACACAATGTTTTCTTTCAGGGGAGAAAAAAATTATTTATGCCAGTGCTTCACCCCCCCTGCAGAAAAAGTGAAGTTTTAAAAAAAGGCTGGTATGAAATAAAGTCTTGATTAAAATAGACTTCTTCTATCAATGGAAGAACTGCATAAAGCTTTATTTAGGGTAACTGTACGTTCTTCCATTAGCAGTATTTTTAAAGACCAACTTCACCACTTCACTTTAAGCAACATGTTACACCCCTGCAGCATCGGGACTGCAGTGGGGACTGTCAATCTATAAAAAAAAAAGTGTGTATCTTGCGCTTAGTGGACAGAGAATTATAAAAATGTGTAGCAATGTGTAACAAAAGAGTGCAACAGCCACAATAGCGCAAAACACTGCAGCTTGCATACTAATCTAAAAATAAGGTGTGCTATTCAAATACCATCATCAATTACCTAAAGTGACACGAATCATATAAAATACCATCAAATAGTTACCTGAAGTTACATAAATCTTGAAAAGTGCAACAGTACAGAAATAATCAAAACTGGACAAAAATGGTCTACATTTATATTGCTTGGAAAAAAATATTCCATATGATAAAGTGCTTAATAAAGGTGTCCAAGTGAGTGCTGTGATGGAAATCAATCCACATACAAGTATGTCAGTTGTAAATCCTCCACCACAAACATGTAGCCTCTTGCCGAATATTCTAATCTCAACATGAAAGATTGAAAAGTCCACTTGATTGTGGACGGATTTCCATCACAGCACTCACTTGGACACATTTATCAAGCACGTTAATGTATGGACTATGTTTTGTAGGCATGTTATTAGTTTTATATAATGTAGATCATTTTGGTCCAGTAATGATTATTCTGCACTGCTGCACTTTTCAAGATTTATGTCATTTCAGGATACAATTTGATGATATTTTATATGATTCATGTCACTTTAGGTAATTGTTCGTGGTGACTGTCAATTGCCAGCTCTCTGCTCTGCCCCTCCAGCGCTCACTGGAGCGCCGGGCTGTGGAGGAGGCAGGAGTGGCTGGCTCAGGCTCTCAGAGACATGTTGAAAGGCTTACCCAGCTGCTGGTCAGGCATCTCAGTGGGTCCCAACATTATTGTCGGGATCCCTGCAGACCCTGGACAGGCTCTAATGCCAGAAATCAGTGGCCTTTAGAAAGGACTGTCACTTCTTTCAAAACCTAAACTCACTTTTGGACTTTTATTGGTTTTTGTGCTTTTTTGTGTTCTTTGTAAAGTTAGTGGAAAATACAGCACCCCCTACATGTGCAATATATAAAGTGTAAGAGTTTGGTTTAGGGGCATGCTGTGAAACAAGCTTCCTATATGTTCATGCACATTATTTATGTAGCGCCTGTCTAATTATAAATATTGGTTTGCATCAGTGGGCTTTAGCCCGCTGTCAGCTGAATCTGGGTCACAGGAATTCTCAGAAATAGGTGCACTCCTGTGACCCAGAAGAGAAATACGGCCCAAAACAAGCATTGCTTATACTTCTCTTTCAAGCATGAGAAATAAAATGACAAAGCAACACTGCTGCCTTACATTCTGTGACCTATAAGGTAAGGACCTAAAGTTTTATCAGACTCTCAAAACAATAACCATCAAGGTGGACAATTGAGTATTTATACAATAGACAACAGCTAGTAAAGAACAATTTGTTATATGAATGACCCAAATTCAAAGTAATGAAAAAATAAGAGGGACACCAAATAGTTCCAGTAGAAGTATAGCAGAAGACCTTGTCAGCAGGTAGCAAAACTCTCTGAGGAGCGGTTTCATCAGCAGCTAGCGGATCCCTCTGACTTCTGTGGACCAGATGAAAAGTTACTGCTTTCTTCTTCTCTATGAAGGGCTTCTTCTTTCTGTGAGGCTATAGTGAAATACAATACATTATCTACTTGTAACTCCCCTAAAGTAAAAGTATATTTTGTCAGGAAAAACAAAACATTTGTACACTATTTATTGAACTGTACTAAAGACTTTGACATTAAATAGCTTATTCAATAAACAGGACAAATTTCAGTCTGCTAAAAACACAGCATTACTAGAGGTTTTCATTAACCACTTCACCTCTCACACCTGTTCACCCTATGGACCAGAGCAATTTTTACATTTCTGCTATAGGCCTAACGTGGTCATCACTTAAGATAAAAAACATAATACATATACACTATATTGTCAAAAGTATTGGGACGCCTGCCTTTACACGCACATGAACTTTAATGGCATCCCAGTCTTAGTCCGTTGGGTTCAATATTGAGTTGGCCCACCCTTTGCATGAAATTGTCCAAAATGTATTGGTATGCTGACGCCTTAAGAGTTCTCTTCACTGGAACTAAGGGGATAAGCCCAACCCCTAAAAAACAACCCCACACCATAATCCCCCCTCCACCAAACTTTACATTTGGCACAATACAGTCAGGCAAGTACAATTCTCCTGGTAATTGCCAAACCCAGACAAGTCCATCAGAATTCCAGACAGAGAAGCTCGATTCGTCACTCCAGAGAACACATCTCCACTGCTCTAGAGTCCAGTGGTGGCGTGCTTTACACCACTACATTCGACACTTTGCATTGCACTTGTGATGTAAGACTTGGAAGCAGCTGCTCAGCCATGGAAACCCATTCCATGAAGATCTTTACGCACTATTGTGCTAATCTGAAGGCCACAAGAAGTTTAGAGGTCTTTAGCTTTTGACTCTGCAAACAGTTGGCGACTTCTGCACACTGTGCACTTCAGCATGCACTGACTCCACTCTGTTATTTTACGTGGCCTACCACTTCGTTGCTGAGTTAATGTTGCTTACAGTTGCTTCCAATTTATTATAATACCACTAACAGCTGACCGTGGAATACTTAGTAACATGGAAATGTCAGGGATGGACTTATTGCACAGATGGCAACCTATCACAGTACCACGCTTGAATTCACTGAGCTCCTGAGAGGGACCCATTCTTTCACAAAGGTTTGTATAAGTAATCTGCATGCCTAGGTGCTTGATTTTATACACCTGTGGCCATGGAGGTGATTGGAACACCTAAATCCAATAATTGGAGGGGTGTCCCAATACTTTTGGCAATATAGTGTTTTTTGTTTTGTTTTTTTGCAAGGACAAAGCTTTATTTTTTGTGAACATAGTCTTGCAATAATGATTTCTTTTTTCACAATCCTTAAACAATTAAACATAACAAAATATAACAAAATGTAACAAAACTAGCTTTTTCTATTTTTGAGCAATGTTCGTTTATAAAATAAATAGTGTTAGTGCACATACAAAAACATGCTAATTTTCTGGTACAAAGCAAAAAATCAGCAGGAAAAATAATAATTGAATGGAGGAGAAGAAGGACTTAATTAGGGCTGATTACTGTAAACTAAGGGGTTAGACAGAGGAACATTAAAAAAAAAAAAAAAAAAAACTTTTTTTTTACTTCTCAGGTTTCTATAACTGACTTCATCTGCAGATGAAAGTTAATCCCTTTGATCTGTAGATGAATTGACAGATACAAAATGAAACAATATTTCTTTTAAACTATGTTTTTGATAAACATTGAAAGACTGCTTTTGTTTGACAGCTCCAGCTGTCATAACTTTTTCTGTGTACTTGGTAATGCCACTTTGATTAATCAAAACTGACCTGCTGAGGCCTGGGACAGGGAAGATCCTGGCAGCAGGGCAGAAGGACTGGACATGTTACACACACCCTATGTACAATGAAGACATATTGTTTGGTGTGTCTAACACATTCAGAGTCTGCAACTGGTTAATAACACATTCAGGTTGAACACTGTTGTATTTTTTTTTCTTGTCAGTGAACTTTATTTTAGCAACAACATGTCTTACAACATCTCTTTCTCACTGGGGATGGCAGTTCCTCCACTGATGCATTTCACCTGTAATTAGGGCTTAAAATGATATTAAAGTTTTTTTGTGTTTTTTTTTTTTTAAATAACAATTATGTCATACTCACCTGCTCTGTGCAGGGGTTTTGCACAGAGCAGCCCGGATCCTCCTTTTATTAGGTCCCCCGCTGGCGCTCCTGGCCCCACAATCTTGTTGAATGCCTCCAGAGCAAGAAGCTAGCTATGGGGGCACCCAAGCAGGTATACTTCCGTGCCGTGGCTCTGCTTGTCCATTCACACACAGAGCAGCGGCTCAGCCCCACCCCTTCCCTCTCCTTGATTGGCTCCGCTGCTGCCTCAGACAAGCAGAAGTGAGAGTCCCCATAGAATGCATGGAGGTAAAAAACCTTAAGCCTTTAGAACCACTTTAATCATAGGGACGATCAACTACATGTTTCTGATGGGCTGCTATGGGTAACTGGTGGAAGTTTCTATTAAAAAAATAACCCTGTAAATTGCCAGAATGTTGGAAATTGTATTCAACATCTTCTAAATAACAAAAGTGTACGGTGCACGTGTGGTGGAAGAAAGAGCCATGGGTCTAATTATTGTGGTAAAAAAAAAATTAATTGTGCATGTATGGCTAAAAGAAGAACAAACAGCAATTTGAAAATAATACTTTAAGGGAGATAAGAGTAATATGTTACACATATCGCAGCAATGTTCTCTGCAAAATATGCTGCTGTAAAAACTGACCTCTCTCAGAAAACATTGTCACTCCTTAGAGGTTAGTATCCAAAACTACTTTGGAAGTTTAAATAGTAGAAAAGGGAAGAAAGACCTGAAAAGCCCATGTCAACACATTAGCAACCCTGTCACAAAGAAAAAAAAAATGTTTTACCAACAAGTGTACCTGAAAACTGGTAGAGGGGGTACATCCCCTTTCCTGCTACCCTTGCAGCAAGAATTCTGCTCTATTCAGTAGAAGTCTTCCTCCAAAGTCTGGTCCACATGGAAAGTGACACTTTCAGGAGTATAAATCTTTCTGGCTCCCCACAGCTCTCAGATTCCTCTTTCTCACTACAAGTGACAGTTAAGCCAGCCAAAGATGGATTGAATCTCGGCCAGTTCAGTCAGGACTGTCCAAGAGTCAAACCATCTATGGGAAGGCTGGTTGTACTGAAGTGGATCCATCGATCCACTTGCGGCCAACAGAACACAACAATGATGCAGAAGGGATTCCCCCATCAACACTGACTTTGCTAATGGAGAAATCAAACAAATTTCTTCCCTTCCACCTGTGCTGGAAGAAAAGAAAATTATATAATCAATAGTTTACTTTATACATGGAAGTCAGCAGGAGAAGACTGTGTGGGGGACCCAGGAGATCAACACTGCAGAAAGTGTCAGTATCATTGAGGACTTCTCTGAACAAAGCAGCATTCTGGTGATCCTGGCAGCAAGAAAAAGGTAAGTATCTACTCTCTTATTTTGCAAGTTCACTTTTTTTGCACAAAGGTTTTTCATGCCAAGGTCACTTTAAATGGAACTCCAGCAAAGTCGCTCTAGAAAGAGTAGTAAAAAGAGAAAAAAAGGATATTACTGCCATCTGTATTAAAGGATAAGTTCACCTTTTAAATAGAAAAAAATTAATAAATGCACATCTTTTTGCAGGTAATACAGGCGCATTTATTATATTTTAATTGGGAACCTGTAAAGGATTGCACCCACAATCAGCAGATCGCGGGTGCAATGCAGGGCTCTTGCAGACTGTCAATATAAGCTGTTTGCTCATACCACCGATACAGGCAGGCAAATACACACTGAACTACTACAGTGCTCCACCATTGCCCTGGTAATTCACTGAGAACTACAAGCTGACTGCCGCAAAGGCTGTTTGTACTTGTAGTTCTCCGATTCACAAAACTCTGTAAATGAATGATGCGGCCAGGTTGGTGGTGCACCGCACAACCACATCTTTTTAAAATTGTGGCAGCAGGAGTGGGGAGAAGATCCCCGGCCTGCTGCCACAGTGGGGAGCAGTAACATGTTATAAAAGGTGAACTTATCCTTTAACATATAAAGTATGACTATAGGCAAAACTTTTTTTTTAATTATTATTAATATTATATTGGATAGGGATAAGCAAAAATTATAACCCTTGTCAGATTTTTTTTTTTTTTACCATCTGTGTTCCATTGCAAAGAGATTTCCCTTCACTTCACCCCCATTTCACCAAATCCAGTGTCCCCATTGGAACATTTCCCTCTATTACTTTTCTGGAGACAACCCGAAATTTTAGATTTTCTTTTACTTTCACTTTTAATGATAATGGTAAACGGGACAAATACAGAGGTGAATCTCTCTAATGAGGGCACAGACAGCAGTAAAACCTGACTCTAGGGGCTCTAATCCCTCTCCACTATCCAAATCTCAAAAAAAAAAGTTTTACCATTGATTATACTTCAAAGTGGAACTATACTCACCTCAGTTCCAGCGATGCAGCATCCCTCTGCTACCCCCCCCGCCTGGCCGCTGACATCTTCAAGTAGCCAGCTTCCAGGCCTTGATCGCCGGCCACTGTCATTGGTCGGACAAGGATGACATCACTCCCTCGCATGCGAGCAGTTCCGTCAAATTCAGCATTGCCGGATTTGCACAGTGAGGTGCGCATACGCAGTTCCCTGCACAGAAGCAGACAGGCATGTAAGTAACTTTAATGTAGAAGAGACAAAGAATGTCTCTTTTGCATTAAAATTTCTGCCGGTTTGGCAATTTTTTATTTTTAAGTTCCACTTTAACCGCTTCCCCGACCGCCCTATAGCAGAAATCTTGCTACAGGGCAGCACGGGTGCGCAATATCACGTATATATGCTGTCAATCACCGGGTCCCAGCCGGAAATTACCGAGGATCTCCGACGGGGAGGAAGACTGTTTTGTTTACAGTCTTCCTCCCTGGCAGCTCGGGCACACTGCTCGGGATGGCTGTGCACAGAACAGCCATCCTGATCAGTGTGCTTACACCAGTGTGCCCCCTAGTAAAACACTCCCTACATATAGTTAACCCTTTGATCACCTCATGTTAACCCCTTCCTGCCCAGTGTCATAAGTACGGTGTCAGTGCTTTTTTTTTTTTTAGCACTGATCACTGTATTGGTGTCACTGGGGTGTCAGTGACACCAAGTTAGTTCCCCCCCCCCAGTGTCAGAGTGTCTGCTGCAGTCCTGCTAAAAGTCGCTGATCGCCGCCATTACTAGTAGAAAAAAAAAACAAATCCCAGTGTCTATACCGCCATTTGTAAAGACTTTCACGTAAATCAATTAATTTACATGTATTGGGATTTTTTTTTTAGCAAAGATATGTCGCAGAACACATTTTGGCCTAAATTTATGACGAATTTTGATTTTAAATTTTATTTTACTGGTCTTGTTTAACCTCCCTGGTGTTATTCCCGAGTGTAGCTCGGGGTTAACTTTCAGTACCAGAAGCGGTAACCTCGAGCTACATGGGATTACCCTGCAGCATTGCTCAGGGATACCCTCCAGCACTCACCTTGTCCTGCGCTCCCGCGATGTCCCCCCTGCAGCTTCCCCGGCCATCTCCTCAGGCCGATGCCGGCATCTGTCTTCCGGGTTCCGTTCCCTGCGAGCGTCAGGACGTACAGGGGACGGAACCAGCGGGAAATTCAGAAATTTTAAAATGTGACATTCACTCAATACACTAAAATCTCATAGTATAACATTACTGTATCAACCCATTTCACATACATTTTGTCCCTACTGCTTTGTCCTGTGCCCTGACTGCATTTTTACTGTACTTTCTGCCTGGAAACTGAGAAACGTCCAAAAAGCATCCCTTTAGGTCAAAATCAGTTTTAGTCCAGCTAGAGAACAGCGATAGTAAATTAGAACCACTTGCAGAATTGAGTGATAATGATTTGTGGGGAAATTCGTCATCAGACACTGAAAATGATTTTGCGACTTTGCTCAGTGATGTGCGAACTTGGCGCTATATTTCAAATTTCAGTGTTTTTGGTTTGATTACATCATTGCAAGAAATTTATAATTTTTTTATGATTATTATTATATAATTTCGTGTTTCAAATTTTATCATACCCGGGATGTTTACTAGACTCTTGTTCGGACGGATTTCAGTGAGTTATTCCTAAAAATTACAGGCCTACAATAAAAAAACAACATATTTCCATGCAAAAACAATGTACTGCTTTGAGCACAGAAATATGGACATAATCAGACCGCTAGGGAGGTTAATAGCAAAAAGTCCAAAATATAGTTTTTTTTCTCAAAATTGTCGCTTTTTTTTTTTACAGTGCAAAAAATAAAAACCACACTGGCGATCAAATACCACTGAAAGAAAGCTCAATTTGTGGGGAAAAAAGGATGTAAATTTCATTTGGGTGAAACATTGCATGACCACGCAATTGTCAGTTAAAGTAACGCAGCGCCGTAACGCAAAAAATGGCCTAGTCAGGGAGGGGGGTAAATCCTAATCCTCTGGAGGGCAAGTGCTTAAGAATTTTTTTTTGCCATCTCTGTCCCATTGGAGGAGATTTCCTTTCACTTCCTGTTCCATAGCAAAACTTCAGCAGAAATTCCTTCAAAGGGAAGACATCTGTAGTAGGTCCAAGAATCAGTGTCCCCTTTGGAAAATTTCCCCTCTATTCCTGTTATGGTGACAACACAATTTTTTTCTTTCATATTTAGTGAAAAAGGTAAACAGGACAAATAGAAAAGGTGAATCTTTTTATTAGCACTGATCACTGTATTGGTGTCACTGGGGATGTCAGGGACACCAAGTCAGCTCCTCTCAGTATCAGAATGCCCGCCGCAGTCCCGCTATAAGTCACTGATCACTGCCATTTTTATTAATTAAAAAAAAAAAAACCCAGTATATATACCCCCATTTGTAGACGCTATAACTTTCATATAAACCAATTAATTTACACGTACTGGGATTTTTTTAAGCAAAGACATGTAGCAGAATACATGTTGGCCTAAACTTGAAGAAATCTGATTTTTTTTTTTTAATTTTACTGGACATGTTTAATAGCAAAAAGTCAAAAATATTGTTTTTTTTTTTCAAAACTGTCTTTTTTTTAAAAAAATAACGCACAAATTAAAAAAACGCTTAAGATCAAATACCACTGAAAGCTCAATTCGTGGGAAAAAAAAGGACGTAAATTTAATTTGCTCATGACCGCGTAATTGTCAGTTAAATGCAGCGCCGTGACACAAAAAATGGCCTGGTCAGTAAGTGGCGTAAATCCTCTGGAGGGCAAGTGGTTAAATTAAAAAAAAAACAATAATTTTGCTGTAAGATCTACTTTCAGGTTAGAGCAGTTCCAGCAGCAGACATGAGTGGAGGCATGGCATCATACAGAGGAGACTATTGGGGATACACATATAGGGTGCACTACTCTTACCATGATTTATTCCATAGAGTATAATGTCCCCAGCAATCCTCAATGTCCACACAGCACAGAATCCCTGAGACGAGGAAGACACAGAATATCACAGGAGTACCATGTGGGATCATCTATCTGCATACACAGCACTCTCCACACTCACACCGGGACATACCAATCCATCGGCACTGCGGGGGGAACCACAGAGTAAGAGCTCCTGGAATGCTTTCGGTTTACATTATAAAATTGTAAATACATGGATCTTTATATGTATAGAAATTGTTTCAGAAAACCGAATTATCAACTTTTAATCAGACAACAAACATACACCGCAAGCAAAAAACTACGCCCCCCGCTTATGAACTTTTGGATGCCGCCACTGGAGGAAAGCAAAACCTCCGGAACACTAGAAGAAAATGCATAGCACTTTCAGGTTGTCCTTGCAGACATGTTTCTGAAGACCAAGCTGTGGTATATTTCTAATAAAGTTTGTTCCACAACAAAATGGCTGACGATAGACATTAGGGTTATACGAAGGGAACCAATCTTGGAACTAGAACTTTACCTCTATAACTAGTAATGCGTGATCGACGTAGTTGTGTTACAGTAAATGGTTGCCGTGCTATTATTGGCAAAGTAGATTAGTTCCGGCTCTGACTTTGTAACACCAGGCATTGTTGGTCAGCCTACAATGCTGAGCATGGATTTTGTTTAATAGATTAAAAGGTTTTGTTGCCTACACCTTTTTGATAATGATTATTTAATGATTATTTGCTTTTTGGAAAATGTTATTCTTCCTATCTGTGTATTATTATACAGGATTTATGTAGCGCCAACGGTTTGCTCAGCGCTTTACATTATAGTGGGAGACAATACAGTAACAATACAGTTCAATACAAGAGGGAGTTGAGGGCCCTGCTCCTTGGAGCTTACAATCTAGAAGGTGGGGGTGAGTGATACAATAGGTAAAACTGTGGGGGATGGAGTGGTTGGAAGTGTAGAAGATACCAGTATTAGCAGAGGGCGGGATAGGCATCCCTGAAGAGATAGGTTTTCAATGATCGCCTAAAGGTAAGTAGAGTAGGTGATAGTCTGATAAATTGGGGTAGGGAGTTCCAGAGGATGAGTGATGCCCTGGAGAAGTCTTGGAGACGAGCATGGGAGGAGGAGATAAGAGAGCTAGAGAGTAGGAGGTCTTGCGAGGAGCGGAGTGTACGGTTTGGGTGATATTTATAGATAAAATCAGATATGTAAATTGGGGCAGTGTTGTGGATGGCTTTGTATGTCACAGTTAGTGTTTTGAATTTTATCCGTTCTGCAACTGGGAGCCAGGGGAGGGATTGGCAGAGAGGGGTAGCAGATACAGAACGGTTAGTAAGGTGAATGAGTCTGGCAGCAGCGTTCATGAGAGACTGGAGTGGGGATAGCCTGCGATGAGATAGGCCAATAAGGAGGGAGTTACAATAGTCGAGGCGTGATATGACAAGGGAGTGAATAAGTAGCTTAGTGGTTTCCAGGGTTAGGAACGGTCGTATCTTGGAGAAGTTGCGGAGGTGAAGTCTACATGATTTTGTCAGCAATTGGATCTGGGGCTGGAAGGACAGATGGGAGTCTAGGATTACACCTAGTATGTGTATGCAAGGGTGCATATTCTATTATGAAGCCACAAGCTGCAATCAAGACCGGACTAGGACAAAAAACAGACTCATGCATTTTAGACTGAGCAGACTCGAACCTGGGGGTGGAATGCCAGGGCCTGGCCCCAAGATCGACCTTTGCAACCCTGGTAGTTGCGCCACTGGTGTCAGTTTTTATTTTTTACCATTAAATATTTTGACAATTTTTTTTTTTTTGGAGAAAGAAAGCAAGATAAACAAACAGAAAAAGACAGAGAAAGGGAGAGAGAGAAAAGAAGTAAAGACAGAAAGAGAAGAGAGGAAAATGGAGAGACAGAAAGAATAAGAAGAGAGAAAAAAGGGAGAGAAAGAAAGAGAGAGAAAGGAGGAGAGAGAGAAAGGAGGAGTGAGAGAAAGAGAAAAAAAGTAGAGACAGAAAGAGAAGAGAGGAAAATGGAGAGACAGAAAGAATGAGAAGAGAGAAAAAAGGGAGAGAAAGGAGGATAGAGGAAGGAGGAGTGAGAAAGAAGGAGAGAAAGAAATAAGAAGGGGGGGAGAGAAGACACAGGACTGACGGGGAGTGTACGCGGGTCAGACACAGGAGGAGTGGGTGGAAGTAGGAGAAGCAGAATCAGCTCTCTCTCCTGTCCCATCTGTGGTGGTGGGGGGGCTGTCAGCACTGGCTCTGGGAGCTTCACAGCCTCTGGGGAGCCACAGTCTATCCTGACATCACCACAGCTGGCGAGGGGAGGGGGGAACCAGGCAAGTCTAAGGGGGGGGGCTGGCTGCCAGGGGAGTATACAGGAACCCGGGGCAGGAGGAGATGGGTAGGAGGGATGGCCGGGTAGGACACCGAGGAACCAGTCTATGCATTTCTCTCATGCTGCCACTGTATGCCATGCTTTTTTG